ATCTGGGCGATCTTGGTCAAGTAACTCGTATCTCTGCTTTATTTCTTACTTCTAAGTGAAACTAACAAAGACTTTTCTAGGATTAAATTAATATAGACACACTTAAAACAGTATCTGAAAAATATTAAGTGCTCAACAAATACTGGCTTTTATTATTTTTACAAAGACCAAATCTCAAAGAGGGAATGGGAGGGCTTTAACTGGAAAAGGTAAGCAAAGGGTTGGGTGTGACAAGCCTTAGTTAAAAGATTATTTATTGAGTGCCTACTGTATGCTGGAGGTACTGGAGTCTCTGCCATGAGCAAGAGTTCTCCAGTGGCACAGGCAAGTTCAGAAGGAGTCATTTTTGATTTCTCCCTTATAATTTAGAGGTTTCCAACACAGAAAACAGAACAGGGTGTGATCATAGGGCAGAGGAATTTTTTGTTTTATAGCTGAGCAATATCAATATTTTAAGGGTTGTTTTCAGCCATAATGGAGAACTGAGAGAGTCTGAATTGTTTGGGGGTCTTCCCTATTTTAGTTTTGACAGATGCAATGTCAAGGCCAACCTCAACATGATACAATTGTCACGTAACCATTGACTTGGCAACTCACTTCTCCAGAAAGTTTAATTTACAAACCTTCTTACAGAATTTATTACTTTACAAAAGAGCAAAATGTTTCGAAAAGAAGACAAAATGGTTTCACAAAAGCATTCAAAAATAGATCAAAACAAATGAAGCAGAGGAAGAGCATACCTGAAGGAGCCTAACTTCCTGCGGTGTTGTACTGACATATTAGATACTGAATAAACAGCTTCAGCTCATTACATCTATTCAAAGTGCCTGGCCATCATGCAAACCCAGGTGCTAGACTTGTATATAACAAGCATGTTCATAGTTAGCAAAAGCACCTTTAGAAGAAAACTTGGTATTTAAGATGAACATCTACCCAACAAGAATTTACTTTAAACCCCTAAGAGTTACACAATTCAAAATGAGACAGGAGGAAAAGGGTTTTAAAAACATGACGTTAAATGATTCTTTGTTCTTTACAGGCCAAACCAGGAAAATGTTGATATTTGATAGTCCTCATTGTCATTGGCTGGACTCACAGAATGACTCTCAGTAGCTGATGCTGAAAGCAAGATACTATGAAAGGAAGCAAAGTCTTAGAGAACCTAATCTCTCCTTCTGACAATAAAAATTGATGTCTGAAGCAGAAAATAATATCAAGCAAATTGACATTCTCCATCTCCAGATGATATTGTTTATGTGCAGCCTCATGTACATAGTTAAGCCAATAAAAACATCCCCCCAGAAATTTTTATTTAAATCTGTGACACTTTTATTACTCGGCTACTCAAAGCAATCATGATAGGATAATAAGTGATACTTTAAGCCCTTTAAAAAAAAAGCAGTAATGCAGTCTGATCGTGTTATATAGAACTAAAACCCAAAGTCCACTAATACTTTTCAGACACCACTTTCTTTAGGAGTTAAATGTCAGTTGGGCAGTATCAGTGAACCAGTTAAAGATTTAATCTAATAAAGTCAAGTCACCACTATCCAATTGAAAATGCAAATATAACATTTAAAATAATTAACTTATAAGGCACAAAAATCTAGTCATTTAAAAATAACATAGTAGAATTCCTTCTATAAATACAGATGACAGAAAGCCTGAATTTTAAAGTTGAACTCTTCTACCCATTCCAAAATAAATTAAACCCTATGAGCTGAATTTGGCCATTAGCTTGTCCTGCTTGATTACTTCTTTAAATTTTATTATATAGTCACAGAGGTCACATTCAAAGGTCAAAGGTGACACTCACCTGACAAGATGGAACATCAGCCAATAAGGCCACACTGGGAGGACAGAGTGGTGGGGAGAATAGGACATAAGTCCAGACCTTGCACAGCTTCAGGCCAAGTAAAATTTGCCTTGGGGAAGGACTGTGGCAAGACTGTTGGAATGGAAGGTAGGAGAGGAGTAGGGGAGAAGCAAAAGTCTAGCTTTGGGTTTGATTAACCTTAGAATGTCTAGGTTATATCCAGGTAGACCCATCAAGGAGATAGATGAATATAAACACTTGGAGCTTGATGGCGAGGGCAGTGCTGGATTGATAGATGTGGTAGTCTTCATACTATTACTGTATTTAAAGCTAGATCCAGGTTCCCAGGCCTTGGGCTCCTCACAGCCAAGAGTATGAAAACAGAGATCCAGCTAACAAAGAAGACACAGACGGTGGTATGGAGGAAAACCACAGAACAAAGCTGCCAGGAAGCCATAGGCACAGAATGTTCAAGAAGGAGAGAGCTGCAGTGTCAAATGCTGGGAAGACATCAAGCAAGATGAGGACAGAAAAATAAGCATTGAACACAGTAAACACAATAAAACCCATTGGTGAGATTTCAATGAGTACTGGGGCTGGAAATGTATTTACTCAATTGAAATTGAGTAAAGGATAGAATGGGAAAATATGAAGACAATGAGTCTGCTTTCTGTGAAGGATAGAAAAAATGAGGTGGGGCCTGTGGGGGAAAGTCAAGGGAAATCTAGTGTAGGTATAAATACTAGTGAGATTGAGTCAACAGAAAAGAAGAACTTGGTGATGTGGCAGAAAACAGTAAGTAAAGGGGAAAGTCTTAGATAAGAACAGAACCCCTCCACCGTCAGAATCAGAGAAAAGTCATGCGTGTGAGTTTACATATAAGTAGGCTGGCATATTTTGTTGTGGATGATGAGTGGTCATTTGGGACTAGAAAAAGATCATATGCATATTATGGGGTGTCAGTGCTAGTGTGTATCATCTGTTTTAGTGAGTAGTATATATATATATATATATATATATATGTCTATTACCATCTTACAGAAGGATAAGACAATAGACAGGGGTTTGAAGATGTATTTCAGATAATGCTCTTTCCTGCTTAAAAATTAGCTTTTTGAATATCTACTCATAATGTTCCATATATGTTGAAGAACTAGGACTTATCAGATCATTTATCATGCTAGCCTGACAGAGAGCCCAACACAAAATCTGTCTTCCTTGACAAGTTTCACCCTATCATCACTGGCTTTGTTGATTTCCTCCTGGCCTCTAGGCTGCACTTCACAGTAAAATCAGCACTCATGCACTCTGTACTTGTCTACTGTGCATAGATCTTAACCATATAAACACCTGTTGAGGATTTAGGATGGGGGCCAATAAAATAGCATTGTCTCTGCCAAGGTGGGAAACCTAGTATTAAATATAAAGCAATACCTAATAACTTCTAGTTGACCAATTTATTTTTTTAGAGTTGAATGGCTAACAGAAAGTTTTAGTCAGCAATTCCTTGGCTAATAGAATATGCATATTTCTTTATGGCACCTGCTGGACATTGCGGGAGATGCTGAGATCATTATTTTCTCCTTTATATGCTGTTCATTTCCATTTGTCTGAGGCAGTATAGCAGTGAGCTGTGGACAAGCCATCTTTATGCCAAAGTTTCCATCCACTTTCTCTCAGATATGGCTTTGGTCAAGAACAGTATTCAAGTGTGGGAAACTTTAAGGGGAATGTAGTAGAAAAGACTGAGAATTACTCGTTGTTCCTGTCTTCTGTATCATAATGGTGAATTTGAAACCAACTTGGTAATAGACTTAGTGGAAAATAATAATATTAACATTTTTAACAGAACATTCTTCACCCAGTTTATTTGTGTATTCTTAGATAAAATATTTCTTCAGTCTACTCTGAAAGTTTAGGCATATATGGATTTCTGGTTTGTTGACTTTTGTGAAGCATAAATTTAATTCTTAAGCCAATTGAAGCTATTGGATGTCATTATATTTAAGTCAGAATGCAAACATTATTTATATATTTCTTAAAATTAGTAACTGTATTATCATAAAATATTCACCTTTAATTTTTATACAACAGGTTACCATGGAAAGTTAGTGAGTTAACAATCAGAGTAACATTTAACCAAAGGTTTTAAGCACTACACACACCAATCTAAGAGTTCTGTAGAAACAAGTGGTAACAGTTATTGTAAAATATTGTCATTCTATAAAGTAGCTATCAACAAGATAAACTACTTTGCTTTTCCATGTTATATGCAAATTGACAGAGATAATTTCAAACAAAATGAAATGTATCAAGAGATTTATAACTTTAGAATATATGAAATCTCTGCTAAAATAGCATTAGGAATATTTCTTCAGTAGAATCCCATAGCAGCAGGAAATATACAAATAGAATCTTTTAAAAGCATTTGTTGCATAAAATATTGTAATTGAAACATTTACTAAATCCCATATGATCCATGTGCATTTATAAGATTTTCAGTTTTCAATACTTACATCTAAATAACTGAACATAGCAGTCACTCAGTCCATAGGAAAACAATAGTATATTAAATCTGCTTAGCTGTTATTTCAGGTTGCTGTTCGTGTCTCTCTCTAACCAACATGGATTTGTCTAACACATTCAGTCATTCCATACATTCTAACTAGTGATAAAATAGCAAAGTTTACATTGTTCATTTGAAAAATAATTCCAGATAATTTGGAATTATTTTTAAATTTAGCAATGAGCTATGATACATTGATTCTTTTTGTGAATTCTTGGAGGTGGGGGAATCAAAATAGTAAGAGTTATTTCTGTTTTTTTGTTTAATTATCAAGGAAAAAGATATATAAATCATTCTCTTTTTTTCTCCCCTATGGAGGCAATATACCTTAAAATGGAAGCTAATAAACAATTAATGACCTGGACCTAACTAAACATTGGAAATGTGATAGTATTATATCTTGGTAAATATAAAAATTTTGAAAGTGATAAAATTAAAGACTTTGATATGTGTAAGATCAATAGACATGACTTATCACTATTTAATATGACCTTTAATTTTTAAATGCCATGTTCCAATGAAAAAAGTGCACTGCACGGGAAAATTGAAATTTCAATAAAGAATCAAGACAAAAGAAACAAACTTTATATTAAAGAGTCTTTAAGAGGTTATACTTACGCGGCAATCTCCTCTTTTGACAATCCTTTGAAATTCACCTCCAGGTAATGATCTATGTCATCTTTTTCTTTGATCAATTGAGACCTAAATGAAATGGAAAGAAATAAGAAAGTGCACTGCCTTTTCAAGTTAAAAAGCTACCAAACACATAAAGTGCCACCAGGAGAACAGAAGCATTTAGGGTGTAAAAGCATCGATCATAAATGTTCTGTCGGGTTGCTGATGGATAACTGCAAAATTTCAATTTTCCTAAATGGAAAAAAGATAGGGAAGAATATTAAACCTAGTGTATAAACAAATAAAATACAACACATTGCAACAATCCACATTCCTAAGTAAGAAGAGGTTTCTCTCCAGGCTTACAAGATCTTCCATCTTATTCATGGTATTTTGCAGTGTAACCAGCTGTGGCAGTCATATTTGGTTTGACGTAAAATCTTGACTCAAGAACACCTATTTGATACAAACATTTAAAATTCATTTGTTCCACACATAGATAAGATTTTCCCTGAGATACTGTTTGAATGTTTTTTAAAATCACACATAAAACTCAAATTCTTACGAATTCAAAATGCAAATGATAAAAAAGTACTTTACTGAGAAATATATTTGTAGTCTGTTGTTTCTTCACAGCCCCTTGAACATACTCAATAAGCATGTTAACCTCTCATAAACATGGGGATTTAGGACTAAGTACTCCTAAACACCTGTTTTATTTAGAACATTTTTATGAAAGAATGCTTATACAAACTTTGCCCTAAAAGGTTAATGATTAAAATGTTTTCTTCAAGAGGAAGATTTCTTTAAAATCCATATGATTTTAGGGTGGTGAGTCTGGGCTATGTTTTTGCTCACCTTGAAAAAAAAATGTAATCTCAATCATTAAAAAAAAAATGGGAAAAATAAGCTTTTTTCAGACTTTGTAAATATTTCATACTTTTCAAGAGTAGAAAAGAACAACAGACACAGACACAAACAAACACACATATACATGTTTTTTCATAGAGTCTTCCATCTACTGAAAGATTTCTCAGCTATAAAAAAATACTTGATTTGCCATTTTAAAAGAACTTTTATGTTAGTTTAGCTATGTATTTATTTTAGTTCAGGGCCTTGGGTCTTTCTAAGAAATACTGAGAATGAAATATGAGAACAAAGACATCTTATAATAGATTGATTGCTATGTCTTACAGGAATCAAGACCTATGCACATAAAGACAATTGTCAATCTTACACAGGCAAATTGTTGTGTATTGATAAATAATATGTATAGTAGTAAAAGTCACTAAAATTACAAATGGCAATTTCAAAGTAACACACTCCCAGTCGATATTCCTAGATGTGATAAAATGAACCAAGTTCTCTGCTCTGCATCCTCTCAGTAGAACTCCAGGGCTCAGCAGCCATCCCCAAGAGGCAGTAGTTTGATGATGCATTTTCAGACCCCAGTGTCATTTCGGGAGCTAAATTATGCCTGTCTATCTTCCCCATGACCTAGGCTTCAGTCTCATGCTCCCAAAACAGAAGTCAGCATTTGGAGTCTTGTGGATTAAAAGCCATAATCATTCTTAAAGCTTGTACTTTCTCTTCTGTGCATATTTCAAAAATGAAATGTCCCATAATGTTATAGGAAGCGTCCTATAATTGCAATAGGAAAAAAATGATTAAATGAGCAGTGGCGTGATAAATATATCTGTGGTATTTGAATTAGGCTTATCAACTGTTTTTGCAATAGCACATTAGAAGATCTGAGTGAAACAGCGTATTTGTCTATTTTCCTGAGACATGCTGGTGACATCTCTTCCTGCCGGAATTTTATTCTGTAGGAAAAGAAACGAGCAGCAGGGCCACCTACCTTGAAGTTGTCCCTGAAGAGCAGGGCAGCTTCTGTCTGGCTAAGACCGCAAGCTTTGTACGTGTCACAGGCAGTGGGGTAAGAGTGGTCATTTTGGGCTGCAAAGATTAAGCAGAAGTGGTATTTTAAAGACTACATCTTCAAAGACTACTTTAAGACATTACTAGCAACACACATCCTGTTATCTTAGGTGAGAATGCCTCTCTAGGTAGAGTCTGGATGACTCAGAAGCCATGCTCAGTGATTGGATTCTGCTGGCTGCTTCTGTTGTTATTTTGTCTTATGCTGTCTGCGTTTTAGTCAATTTATCACTTGTCTGCATCTCCACCAATGTGGATCAGGAGAAAATGTGAAAAATGCATTGAAGACTGAGACAATCAGCAGTTTTGGTAAGGGTTTTGTTAAGGGACATGGCTGTAATTAAAGAGTGAAGATATTTAGGGTAGCTGTGCCTTTCAAATGTTTCTGTTTCACTCTGCTATTATAATCAATAAGAGAAAATAGATCATACTTTGCTGTTTTCTAAAAACCTCATCACTTACAAATAAAGGCTTCCCTCAGAAGGGATAGAAACTAAGAATGAGTCTCAACAGCTTCTCTGAGAAGGCACGTAGCTATAGTGTGTGGTATAATGCATTACTTCAGAATGCAGTGGTTTAAAAAGTGTTCAGATCAACTTTATCACTCACACTTTCACATGTCTCTGGAGTTTGGACATGACAAAAGAGAGATGGCTCTTTTCTGCTCTATGGTGAAGACTCAGAAGCTGGGGTAACCCGATGGTGGGGACAGAAGTCATATGCAAGTATCTTCATTTCTATGTCTAGTGGTCAGTGCTATTAGCTGGAGCCTTACCTGGAGCTGTCTGCCACAACACATAGAGAAAAATACAGCAGGGAGCCGGAAACTACCTAAACGTTTGCTCACCAGTAGTGGAAGTATAAATAAAAAGCAGGAGGAGTTGAGGTCAAAGAAGTTAGGGGGAATCTTTATAGTATCCTGACAGTGTATTATTGAAAGTTACTGCAAAACTCTTTTTGTTCTGATTGAGGTAAGCAGCCATGGGAGGATTTAGATCATAGAAGTGACATCATCTCACTTTCACTTGGAAAGAGTCACTCTGGCTTCTGTTGTAGGGAAAGGAAGAAAGGAAGGGCAGACAACAGAGAGACTGCTGGGAAATCTGGGTGAGAAAGGATGGTAATGTGGACAGAAGTGGAGTGAGGGAGATGTAGGAAGATCAGAGAAAGACAACCGTGGAGAGCTGAGCCATGATAGTCCTCTGACACTGCAAAGCCATGGTGGGATAAGGCTGGGGTAGGGATGGGGGAGTACTAAAAATTGAGGGGAAATCCTTTGAAATGTAATACAGATAGGGGCAGTCTTTTGTTACCTTGACCAAAAATAAATTTCCACATAATTAAAGAGATAATTCTAATTTACATCTGTGTTTTGTTTTAAATATTATAGAATTCTATTACCCAGTTTATCAAGACATGACATGCTATATGAGTCATAATGGCTACTTATTTTATGCACTTGTAGCTTTGAAACACGTAGTCTGAATAGCAAATGTTAGTCTTTTCCTACAGAATAGATATCAGAAATAAGTGGTATTACACAGCATATCTTCATGATAACTGAATTCTTTTTCATTTAAAAACATGCATTTTTCAGATCAGATGTTATATTAACAGTTGATTTATGCAGATAACCAAAATTTACTAACAGACAACCTTCAGTAAAACCTATTAAACCTCATTGATAGATCTGAAAGGACACCACCGCCTCCCCAAATCCACTTCCCACCAGCTTACTCCCGAGAAGCTATGGAGATTTTTCCAGAGTGCTCCAATGTTTGAGTAAATCTGAATCCACTCAGTTCTTAGCTCTCATGTCTGTAGCCCTAGTGGATTTCAAAAAGGGAGGAAGCAAAACATAACTACACTTGCTCGAGTCAGGGCATTCCATCCTCCTTGAGTCAAGACTGTTCTGAGGGCCCAATTTACTTTCCAAGGCTTTGTGCCATGGACCTTGAGCTAGGGTAATACCTGCACAATTGCAGGGGCCTTTGAAGGATTCACCAAGAAGCCTCCCAAATACCATGAAGACTCAGCTACTTACAGATACATGTATCAGACCCCAGGAGCTCTGATACAGCCAAAATATCCCATCAAAGTGCATCAAACCCCCACCAAAGTTGGCCTTCCAGTCTATTCTATATAACTGTTCCCTTGTCATGATTACTTGGGGTAGACAAATTTGGCTAGAAAATCTAAGCCTCTATGAAATCAAATGCAAGTGATAGACATAGAGAGAAATGGGTCTTCTTTGTCACACGGATCAACTGCGATTTTTTTTTTTTCAAATTCTGAGTCAATGCTTCCTACCATTAAAGTTTCAGCTGCCAGTTCCTTCATTTTGCTCTCCTCTGATCTGAGCACATGAGCAGCAGGGGCACCTTTACTCTTAAATTTAGTTTAATGTAAGGATTGCAAGCCCTGCTGGCAAGCCTCAAGGCACAAACTCTGAAAGGGTGGTGGTCAGAGCTGAATTATAAAGTGAGAAAAAGGTTATTAACTGAATGTTGGAAAAATAGTGCTCAACCAATCTATGTTGGAGAGTTTAAGCTCAGAGTTAGAGTGCAAACTAAGCAGACTCTCTCCTTGCTCTAAACCCCACATCCTACTCTGTCTATGCTTGTTAGGCAAGGGTGTTTTTCATAATCATCACATACCCATTACTGCATCTATTTTATACACTAGATAATGTGAGTCTGGATTTCATGATGCTACAATATTTGACATGCACCCAATATTTAAAGGGATTATGTAGCAAATATCTCCTTCCTTCCTTCTTTCCTTCTTTCCTTCCTTCCTTTTTTTTTCTGATAGTACTGGAGTTTGAACTCAGGGCCTTGTGGTGGCAGGCAGCTGCTCTACCACTTGAGCTACACCACCAGCCCTTTCTTGCTTTCTTGCTGTCCTGTACTGTGATCCTCCTACTTACAACTCTCATAGCCAAGATGATAGGTAAAAGCCAATGAACCAGCTTGTTGGTTCAGGTGGAGTTTTACTTTTTGTCTGGACTGACTTTATAACACAGTCCTCTGGATCTCCACCACTTGAGTAGATAGGATTATAGCATGAGCTATGGCCTCCAGCTCAAAATTATTTTATTATCTAAATAAGCAGCATCTCTTTAATGCCTTCTAAATTTGATCTTATTTATGTAGAATTGTCTTAAAGTAAGAAGTAGCTATATTCTAGCAAACAGCATCAGCCCAGGGAAATAGGAGTAGAAAAAAATGCAAACATGTTTAGAGGCTTATCTCTTCAGGCTTTAGTCACAACTGTAAAGAAAGCCTTTTGTTCTTTGTTAACATCAATTACATCTTCCCCCAGTATTGGTCAGAGGGCCTCCCCAGTTCCTAAGTGAGCTCCAATCTAGACTAAGCAATGAGGAATTTAGTCCACTTGTGCTATATGGTGACTACCCTGGACAGTAGCAGAAATGGAATCCATGCCCCTTGGCCATCAAGGCCCTTCCAGCTCACCAAAGAGGAAAACACACAAGGTGGGAGAGATGGCAGGAAAGGGAATGTCTCAGGGTCAGGAGAGTAAGGGACAAGGAGAATGAGAGATACCAAAATGAGCTTAGCGGGGGAACTGAGGCTGCAGCAGTCTCTCTGGAGGACCCCAAGGCAGCCCACCCCTCCCTGGTGCCAGCAAGTGGGCAGTGCTACATGGGGCACCATGGGGCTGAGACAAAGATCAAAAGGCTGCCCGAAGCATTCCACTGTTGGTATTCAGAAGAGATTTGGTGTACTCTTTGATCTGTTGGTTGACTGTCATTCCTTGGTTACGGCCTCTAAGTTTGACCCCCACATGCAAAGACAAATGAGAATGGAGAAATACAGGATGAAAGGTTTGGGAATTCTGGCTCAGGCTTGAAGTGTTGCACCATGTGAGCTTAAATTTCTGGCCCCCAAGTAAAATTCTTCAAAGAGTAACCCTCCTGCCCACTATCCCCAGAGGAACCCTCAACAGGAAAGACAAAGGAGAGGGGGAATATCACTGTGTGACAGAGGCTACTTGGGGAGGGACTGTGCCTGAGGTTGACCAGTGTCTCAGGGGTTCAGTCACTTTGGGTAAGAGCTGGGAAGAGAGAAATAAAGCCAATCCACCAGCCACAGCAAGAAAAATATTTTACCACCGCTGCCCAAACCCTAAGAACCAAAACTTTTCATATCACAGGTTCCTTTAGTAGGAAAGTTGAAAGAAAACAGCAGAAGAAATGCCACATGTATGCTCTTTAAAAAGAGAAAAAATCAAATTCACATAAATAAGCTTAAAGAACCACTAAATGTTTAGCCCTTATTTCATCATTTTTGGACACTTCTGGCATTCTGCGGTGGGCAATTAGATTAGATTGTTAAATAAATAGGAATCACACATTTCCTACAAACTGACTTTTATTGATGGCTACATTTTAAAATATAAAGTAGCAAAAGTGTTTGAAGGCAGGCCACGTCCCCGACTTACATTGGCAGATTACTGGTGAAGGTCTCTCTAGTCTTATAGATCTCAGCCTGAAAACCAGGAAGCAAATACAAAAATGAAAAGGAGAAAAGGAAAAAAAATTAAAAATTAGTAGAATAACTCCTGTGCCTCCCCCAACCCATGGAATAAGGCTCATTCACACAAAAAATACTAAGGACCTAGTATGTATTTTAGATGAACTTAAAAAAAAAATCCAAGGTGTATACCCTATGAAACTAATCACTAATTCAAGAAATTACCAAAACATCTGAAATATGTATACATGTTGATATAGTCCAACACAAAAGTGACATTAGGACAATCAGTTGTTCTCTTAAATTTGTAATATGGACTTATTTTTACAAGGAGTGAGAGCATCTCTGTTCCCTTTTTGTTGCCACCTCGTTTTGTACAGTACTAACCCGTATCTTCCTAGGCTCGTTTCTTTTTCCAGGGCCCTCAATTGAGGGTCCGTGAACCCGGAGCAAGACGAGCGCCTTTTCTTTCTGCTCTTTCTATTTGGTTCTTGAGCTGAAGGCAGGGCCTCCACTGAGGAAGCCTGAGCCCCGCCGATGGAGGAAGGTCTCTCGGGGTCAAGACACCGACTCCCTGGAAGAACAGCCCCCCTCTTTTAGGAGCTGACAGAGTCCTGTCTAGCTCGCTCCCGCCGTCACGAACCTCGGAGGGCTGGCTCTGGGGAGCAACTCTGGTTTTCCGCCCGGGTGGCCAGCGCTGCTCCTCCTTCCGCGCTGGTTCCGAGGTCAGGCTCCCCCGGAGGAAGAGAGGGGACGCGGAGAGCGTCTCCAGGGAAACGGAGGGCGAGGCGGGGCGGCCGGGGGCGGAGCTAGGCGAAACTAAGGTTCGTGATTGGGTAGCTCTTAGGGAATGGGGGCGGGGCTTTGGGAGGGGCGGGGCCTACTGTGGGCCGGGTTGGGGACTCGCAAGAGGAGCTGGCGTTACCTGCTTGAAAAGCCAGCCTAACTCGAGGGTTTTGCCGCCGCCTCAATCATTTCCTTTATGACTGCACTTTCAGTATTTTGCAACATTTTCCTATTATTTGCGAGATTAATAAGAAGAGGCTCAGCTTCGCATCCATGACCTCCATTGACATAATAAATCATCCTTTGCCCTCTTCCTTTTTGCTGACTGTCAGAAGCCACACAAGTAACTTTCCCAATCCTGTCTCCAGAAAGGTAATCCGATTTTGAGTTGTAGTCAACCAAAAAGCTCGAGGTCTCTTTCAGAGAGATGTCTCTGCATCTTGTCCTTAGTTATTTTGAATTTTGACCTGAAACTCAGGGCTTTATATTTACCTAACTGAAGGTCATCCTGTCAATCCCAGCCTACACTCTATCTCTTCTGTCGCATGTAAGGCCAAGGGCATGGGCCTTCTGCTCCTTCTCTCACACACATGGGGGCAAAAGAGTGGTAAGAGACTTGTCACTTACCACTTCCACACAAAGATGTGCTGGGAAGTGAGGCTTTGTCCGTTGCCCTTTGTCACGCGCTGTAGGAGAGTGAGCCGGGAATCTTGCTCACCTAAGTCATTTTATTAACCATAATTGATTCTATGTAGCATGCAAGCCTACAGCCATAATCCACTGTCATTCCCACATGGACTCTGCTGTAAGGAATCACACATCATTTGCACCAGGTAAGTTTCCACTATCCATTCAGTTCATCATCATGACTGCCTATAACCAGGTTCCCCCTCAGGAAGGCCCATCTACTCTCTGGAATCCATTTTCCTGCGTTCAGCATCACCTTTACACAACTCCACAGTGATTTAGTGAATTCTGTCCCAGTCTTTGCTGTGTTCAGCTCCTCTCTGCCTGTTTGGATGTATCCCTCCTGCTTGCCGA